TTTTCCCTTTTTTTTTTTTTAACTAAATTAAAAAACCCTGGTCCAAAACGACGTCGTTTTGGCCAGGTTTTTTTTTAAAAAAAAAAACAAGCAGCGTGTTTTAAAACAGCCTGGTTCAAAACGACGTCGTTTTGGCCAGGCTTCGTTGGGCGCGCCTCCTTGCGCCTGCACAGGTCTGCCACTAGTCTGATGCTTAGAAGGTCAAAATTGCCCTCCAAATTTGTCACACGTGCTCCTCAAGTGGTTGAGTTTGACAAAAGTTTGGATGAACTCTCACAAATCTAATTGCATGAGTGAAATTAGCAGTTTTTTTTTTTTTTGGGGGGGGGGGTGTTTTAAATTGTCAGATTTTTTTAGTTCAGGGGGTTAAATTATACAAGGGTCATAGTTCAAAGAGTAAAATAGCTGAAAAATCAAAAATAAAAAGACTAAATTGGGAGTAAAGTAAATTCCCTAATAACAAGACTCCAACCTCGTTTAATCTTCAACAAAGTATGAAGCTTTGGAAGCACGATGTTTCACCACAATTCAGACTAAGAACTTAGAAGTCCAAGCCCAACTTCCGAAGTCGAAACATCTGAGACTTCCAAAGTCGGAACATCTGAGACTTTTGAAGTTGGAACATCTAAGACTTCCATAGTCGAGACATCTGAGCCTGTTTGTGCCTAATAAATCACGGCCATGAACTGGCCAAAGGAGCCCCTTTTCTCGGCCCAAGCACTTCCTCGAGAAGCTAAAGCGCAGCGTTTCGCCAAGGTGTTTTGCCTTCCTGAAAACAAAAGAAGTTGCCAAGGCATGATCATCTCGGCCTCGATTGTAAGCCGAGGCCGAGGCTGAGCAAAATCATGGCCAGAGATATCAGAATCAACTCATCACGTGATATCAGGGTCCCATGCTTCATTTAATGAAGTAATGCCTCTGTTTATTACAGCAAACCCACTGGCCACGAATAAGCATTTAATGCATGAGGGAAGGTGGGAAGTGACTGAAGTCAGGGTTTGGCGACAGGAAACAGAGTGATTAGACGTGGACATTCTCACAAGAATTCTTGCAGCTTGAGAGATTAGGTCACCAGCTATTAAAACAATAAATGCGTCTCCACGGCCAGAAGCGCAGAGCCCACGATCAAGGCGGCGGCCGGGATTCACCAGGATTTATGAGGTCACACCACCATACTTCACGATCCCAAATGTCAATTAGACTGCCCACTTGCTCTAATCAGGCTCCACCATGTGGATTTTCAGCCTCGTGTACTCCTCCAGGAACCCTTCCTATAAATACGAGGCTCAAGCTACATTCAAAGGGTTCAAACACCAAACCAAAGCCTCCCACGGAGCAACTTATAATGCACTTTCAATATCTTTACTTGTTTTCCTAGGAGTAGTGTTAGACTGTAAGGAAAATTCATTCATTAATATATCATACGACCCTTAATTTTCAAGGCGCCGGAGCATCATCCCTGTTATTCGCTCATTCACCCTATATATCATACGACCGTCGCTCCCCGAGCAGCGCGCCGGAGCATCGCCCAAAACCCACCAACACCATCACTAAACGGCCTTGTAGCTCAGGCCGTGAACCTAACAGCCGAGATTAGTTCATCTCTTGGCTACAATCGTTTGATTAGAAGACGAGTCCAAACAGGCGCACCACTTGACCATTCTATCCACATCAACCATCTCGACGCACGGTAGACCATGCTGGCACGCCCGCGCACAAACGCACCGCACCCAAAAGCAGGAAGCCGCGTGTCAACGCATATCCCCTCGGCCCGGAAACCCAGGCCGT